AGAGATGACCTAATAAGAGGTTTTCAATATACAGCTTTTGTAGAGGGGAGAAATAAAACAATTCCCTCTGGTAAGTGGGGCAATAAGCAAGGTCATAGATTTAAAATCTTAAATACTGCACATTAGAGAGATATGTTGCTGAAGCTTTTGCCTTGTCATCACAACAAATACAAGAAAGCCAAATTTCAGATGATCACAATAATTGCAGGTGGTAAGGTTATTGATTGGTTGACATGTTTGGAAAAATATCCAGAGAAAAGATAAGAATAGCATTTTTTTTCACCTAGAAAGTTATTAGGTTTTCAAATGCTTTACCTGAAATTAAGTTGGACAGACAATTGCAAAGGAGAAACTTACAAAATTACAAAAGACAGAAGTGTGGATCAAAACACAACAGCTCTTTTGAAGAGACTTCATGGTCTTTTATTGAGCTGTAGGTTTCTATGAAGTCTAGTCTACTTCCAGTTTTTACCCTGGCATTCATTTTTTCTAAATTTTTTCCATCTTATTTTAAGAAACAATATTTCTGCTCAATATTCCTCATTCCTACTGGACACATATCATTTGCAGAAGTCTGACATTGATATAAAGTTAATGCCAAACTGTGGTTGTGAAACAAAGCTAATTAGCTCCAACTTCTCAACCACAGAACATCAACAATACTTATAGTTTCTACAGATGTAATTGACTGTAATAGCATTTATTGTTTCAGCTGATGACACAGTCAATTCTGAACTAGCTTTACATTGTATAAATGTTTGTTTGGTTGTCTGTGTAATTTTTAGCATGCTCAAGATTATTTAGCAAATACTACCAATTGCAGAATCACATCTAATGCTGAACATTGTATTTAGAGTTTTGGCTGTTTTTCTGCCTATCTCACAAATTAGTAATTTGATATATGAACTTTGATATATGTGCTGATGTGATGTCAGATTTCCATGACTGAATATTGTATGTGACCTTATATGTGAGCCGTGGTCTTTTCAGGATTCAGCTTGACTCTGTCGGTTGTGTAAAGTATTCTGATGCACGAACATCTGGTCAATTTCATGATGCATTGATCTCAATCCCAGCTTTCTTGATTCTTTTCATGGCTTCAAGCAGATGGTGGTCATGATTTTCCTCACCCACATCATAGAACATAGCACATTACAGTGCAGTACAGGCCCTTCGGCCCTCGATGTTGCGCTGACCTGTGAAACCAATCTGATGCCAAACTAACCTACACTATTCCATTATCATCCATATGTTTATCCAATGACCATTTAAATGCCCTTAAAGATGGTGAGTCTACTACTGTTGCAGGCAGGGCATTCCATGCCCTTACTACTCTCTGAGTAAAGAACCTACCTCTGACATCTGTCCTATATCTATCACCCCTCAATTTAAAGCTATATCCCCTCGTGCTAGCCATCACCGTCCGAGGAAAAAGGCTCTCACTGTCCACCCTATCTAATCCTCTGATCATCTTGTATGTCTCTATTAAGTCACCTCTTAACCTTCTTCTCTCTAATGAAAACAGCCTCAAGTTCCTCAGCCTTTCCTCATAAGACCTTCCCTCCATACCAGGCAACATCCTGGTAAATCTCCTCTGCACCCTTTCCAATGCTTCCACATCCTTCCTATAATGCGGCGACCAGAACTGTACGCAATACTCCAAGTGCGGCCGCACCAGAGTTTTGTACAGCTGCAACATGACCTCATGGCTCCGAAACTCAATCCCTCTACCAATAAAACCTAACACACTGTACACATTCTTAACAACCCTATCAACCTGGGTGGCAACTTTCAGTGATCGATGCACATGGACACCAAGATCTCTCTGCTCATCCACACTACCAAGAATCTTACCATTAGCCCAGTACTCTGTATTCCTGTTACTCCTTCCAAAGTGAATCACCTCACACTTTTCCGCATTAAACTCCTAGATTTAGATAAGTCAACTACTCTTTTCCACCCTGCCCACTTTCGACTGCAACATATCCTGGTTTGCTTGAGGGTCAAAAGATAAATACAGGAGTTTGCATCGACTGAAGGGTGTTTTGAATGTTGTCAACAGTGAAAGTTCCTCATAAAGCTTCGCTTTTCAGTATCTCTTTCTGGCTTCAGGTTTGCTGAACACTTCCATCACTGCTACTATTTGAATGGGTTCATGATTCTTCTTTATTGCTTAAGATCTTTGAAATCTAGGAAAATTCTTAGCTTCCATTTGGCTCCTGTCCCACCACAAATGTAATTTACCCATTTTGTATGCTCTATCACTCCGGTAATCACCTCCTTTTCTTTCAGTTCTTGGAGCTTGCTTTCAAGTTTTCCTTTCAATTTGATCAGTTTGGGGTGGCACGATGGCTCAGTGGTTAGCACTGCTGCCTCACAGCGCCAGGAACCCGAGGTCAATTCCACCCTTGGGTGACTGTCTGTCTGGAGTTTGCACATTCTCCCCGTGTCTGCGTGGGTTTCCTCTGGGTGTTCCGGTTTCCTCCCACAGTCCAAAGATGTGCAGGGTAGGTGGATTGGCCGTGCTAAATTGCCCATAGTGTTCAGGGATGTGTAGATTAGGTGGGTTATAGGAGGATGGTCTTGGTGGGATGTTCTGAGGGTCAGTGTGGGCTTATTGGGCCGTAGGGCCTGTTTCCACACTGTAAGGATTCTATGATCTATGATCAGTGCTTTATGGGGAGATGAATGATTGGTTTCATCTCTGGATCAATTGTGATATGGTACTCACACTTTCAAAGCATCCAAATCTCTTGGTAAAACTGTCTGGAGGCGATCTTGTTTCTGATCAGAGGATGCACTACCTTCAACTCTCAGCGCTACATCATTCATCTTATCGTTGACTCTCATGGCTCACTGAGGTAAGCTGCAAATCTTTATAATTGTTTATCCGCAGGATAGCAAAATCATCTCTTTCAACAATGTTAATACTGCCATTGTGTCTCTCCGTTTTCGGTTGTTCCTGGCTTTTGAATTTCCCCTGTATGCAGAATGACACTATGTGATTTCAGAGCATCTTAGTTTAGTACCTATTTTCCTTCAAAATTTCAGGAAAGATCTTCTAACCTGTGCTCTCATATCAATTTTCAGATTTACTTTTCATTTTCTTTCTGATCCAAATGGCTTGTCTACATTTTTTTTTCTTTGGGAAGTATCACATCCACACATTTTGTGCAGTTATATTGTTCCCATGCCCATTCTGTCTACAAACTCATTATCTTCCAAAAACATGGGTATTTAGGTTTCTTGCTCTGCTTCTGGTAACTTGATCATCTTCTTTATTTGTTCTATCCATGTTTTTCAAGTGATTGGGCTTTCTCGAAGATCTGTGGTTTGTTCTGCTTGCAGGACATTTCTTTATCTCTATGAAAACATATGGTTTTCACAAATCTTGCACATCTTTCTTTCTGAACGGTATGCATTCCTTTGTTGCTTCACTGCTTCGACGTTGCAACCTTTCTCTTGACTAAATTGAAAATGAACTTTTTGGGAGTCAGCATCTCAAATCTACTTGTGGCTTCATGTGGACTGGCAGCCTGTGGCATTGAGAGATTATGTTTTCTAATGAAACCTGTTTGTACACTAGGTTATACAGAGCAGCCAAATGAGCTAATATACCAACTACTTATTCATTTCTAGGAATTTACACTTGCTGCCTACATTGCTGTTGAGATATTATTAACAGGCTCACTTGGTTCCTGACTCAGGCTGTGAAATTTGTATCAGTGGACCTGCTGAGTTGATTTTTGCTGGAGGTATGTGCTGAACCTCTCAAAAACGTTCTTTAGGCTTTGACTATTGTTCTCACTGATCTCCAAGAGATTACACACATCCAATATTTTGTCCATAAACCCTTGCCTTAGCATAAGTAATTTTAGAAAACTTCTAATATCAGTGCTTCATAATGCTTTGACTCCAGTAAAAAGCAGTTCATAACCAGTAAAACTGGGAAATAAAGGTACTGGAGCTCCACTTACCTGGCATTCAAGCTGAGCAGTGAGTATTATTTCCTAGTTGTACTGTCACATCATCAGGAAGTCATTTTTTCATATGATTCGCTCAGCTGCTCTAATTCAAGTTGATTTTTTCTTAATTGAATTCAGCATTGACATTACACTGGACAATTACTTACAGACACACTTGTCGCAACCCTGTTATATCTTGGGGTTGCCAGAAGTCCCAAATAATTAGAGTTTTCCACAGGGGCATTATTCATATTTAATATGTCTCAGCTCTCTCCATGTGCTGGTTAACCATAGAATCCCTACACTGTGGGAGCACGCCATTTGGGCCATCGGGTCCACAACGATCCTCCAAACAGCATCCCACCCAGACCCACCGCCCTACCCTATCCCTGTAACTCTGCATTTCTCCTGGCTAATTCCACTAGCCTGCACATCTTTGGACACTATGTGCAATTTAGCATGGCCTATCCACCTGACGATAACATAGTTTTGGTACATGGGCTGGACGCAGCGATGTGCTATTCTGCATACTTCTACATACATGCATCTGGCCACTTCATTCCTAAATCTTTTTGGAATTACTTATTCTGATGTATTATTGATCAGTCTAGCAAATGTTTCTTTCGCAATGATGATTTTTTTTATCAATAAGAAGCAAGAAATGTTCAAAAAGAGAATTCTTTATTGTCTGCAATACCCTCCCTGAAGGTTCAGCTTCACTCTCCACCAGGGACATTCTGGGAGGTTTGGGAACCAGATACCCACTCCCCGTTGAAGACAATCCTGATCCCCCTCCTCACCTAGGCACAATCCAGATATCCCCCCTCCCCCGGTGACAATCCAGCTACCACCCTATCCAGGGACAATCCAGATCTCCCCCTCCCCCCGGGTATAATGCAGACTCGCCCTACCCCCCCACGGGACAATCCGGGTGTATTTGGAAGCAGACGCCCCCGGGGGTCCATGCCGCAGCCCCGCCCACTCCGATCCGGGTCCTGGCGGTAGCTCCGCGGCTGCGCAGTGGGCGCTGCTCATTGTACTCGCTTTGGCCATGGCCGCTGAGATGAGCTCTGAGGTTCCCGAACCGGTGGCTCTGACAGCACCGAATAACCCAGTGACACCGGGACCCGGGCAGGTGAGGGTGATCGGAGCAGTGCCTGCCCGTGGAGGGAAGCGGCGCTCGGGGTAAGACCTTTACAATTACCCGCGGCTTCAGCTCCAATTTAATCCAGGAGCGGGAAGAGCGGCGGTCACTGAGGGGTTGGTGCTCGAGTAACCAGGGGAGGAGCCAGGGTAACTAAAGGTGGGACTAATGTAACTAGGGGAGGAGTCAGTGTAACTGGAGGTGGGGGCTAAGATAACTAGGGGTGGGGTTAAGGTAAGCAAGGGACAACCGTGGTAACTACTTGAGGGCCTGGTAACTATGGGCGGAGCTAGTGTAACTAGGGGAGGAGCCAGGGTAAGTGGTGCGCGCCATGGTAATGAGGGTGGCTATGGGAACAAGAGGCGTGGCTGGGTAACTGGGGGAGCTGGGGTATCTAGGGGCGGAGCTTTGGTGATTGGGGTGGGGCTATGGTAACTAGGTGAGGAGCTGTGGTAACAAGGCAGGGAGGGTTCAAGTTAATTGTGGGGCCTGGAGCCTGGAGCCATCTGGGTGTGCTCAGGTTTTTGTGCAGAGGCTTGGGATGGTTGGAAAGTGGGCCAATGATGAAGTGTGGTATGAAAGCATCTGTGTGAACAGGGCCAGGGTGATTGGAAGGATGGTTAAGAGTAACTGAGAGAGGAGTTTCAGAGTCATTCGTAGTTGGTGTGTCACTGCTATAGTAGGGTTCTCACAAATTGGTGAGTGAGTGAGTGGGTGGGAGAAAAAGGTACACAGGAAATTCTGTCTTGCTAAGAGTAAATAGAATGTTGGGGGCAACCCAATTGGTGATGAGATGGACAGCTTGTAAGGGGTATCAAGATTCAACGACAAGACTGTTACAGTGAAATGAGGAGAAATAGAGTGGTAACCACAAGGTGGGCCCTGTCATTGAACAAAAAGAAATTGAATATTTGTTAAATAATCATTTTGATTCAGCATTTGCACTGAAGGAAGTGGTCAGCATGCGGTCTTCATCCCAGGAATTCTGACATTGAATCAGGGACAGACACAAATTAACGTAAGCAAAAGAATAAAAATTGTTGTAGTCATTGATAAGTACCCAGAGCCAGATGATTTCTGGCCCATAATTTTAAGATATGCAGATGACAGTAAATTTCCAGTAAAGTTCTGTTATCTCAGATTCCTTTCCTTAGATTGGAAATTTGTGTATGACATTCCATCATTAAGGGAAAGTGAAAGGGGGTAAACCAAGAAACTAAGAACATTTAGTTGACAATGGATAGGGAAATGTCTATTAATGCCATTCATGTATCCATATCCTGGACACATTTGATAACACGCTCAGAAGTAACTGAAAAATTCAAGTTGAAGCTCATGGAATTGAAAGCAAATTGTTGACCTGGCTTAGTGGCCAGATACAGAGAGTAGTGATAATGGGCAGATACTCTATTTATCAGGATGCAGTGTTTCCCAAAGGTCTGTATTTGCATCTCAGTTATTCACTGTTTTTACTGATGATTTTGAAGATGCAATAAAAAGCCACATATCTAAATTTGCCAATGATATAAAGGTGGGTGGCATTATAAGCAATCTACATTGTACCATAATATTATGAGGGAAATTGATAAATTTAAAGCTGTATGCAAATATGATTTAATTTATTTAGACCTAAAATTGGGGAAGGGAGTCATTTTGAAATTGTGACAAGGTTAAAAAACAGTAGAGGTCGAAAAAGAACTGGGAACCCATGTATCTATGCCCTTATGTCATCATCATAATAACAAATAAAACTATTGAAATGCTGGTTTTTATGACTATCATACTAGAATTACAGTGGGGTAGAAATTATGCTTCAGCTATATAAAACCCAATTGAGACCACATCTGAAGGATGGTGAGTTGCTCTGGATGCCACACCATAGGAAGAGTAGACAGTGTGAAAAATTATTTTTAATCATCCAATTTGGATATGTTATGATACTCCTCCATGGCAGATGTGACTTGAACTTGGACATTCTGGCACACAGGCAGGGGCACTAACACTGTATGACAAAACTGTTAAGGAAGTGTTGACCAGAATGGTACCTGAATTCAGGGATAACAAGGTGTAGAGCTGGATGACACAGCAGGCCAAGCAGCATCATAGGAGAAGGCTGATGTTTCGGGCCTAGACCTACCTGAATTCAATGGGTTAAATTATGAGAGACAAAGTAGGGCTGCCTTACCTGAAATTTAGACGTAAGTGATGATTTGATCAAAGTTTTCAAATTATTAAGACAAACAGATTGTGTGGATGTGGAGAAACTTTTCGCTAATAGGGAATTCTTGGGCAAGAGGGCACAATTAAAAAATTAGAGCCAAATGTTTCAAACCTAAAGTAAGAAATACCTCTGCTCAAAAATATATTTTATTTTCAGTATTTAAAATAGGGATAAAATCAATAGGAAAGAATCTAAGCAAATTTGGGGACCAGAACCACTTTTATTTTGGCTAAAGCTCATTGAGGCAATGAGGTAACTTTTAAACAAGGTACAGTCACACAAACAAGATTCGTGGTTATTTACATTTGACTTAGCATCACATAACAGGAGAAAAGGTGCTAATTGGTTGTCAAATGACTAATTGGCTGAGGTTATTCCCAAGAAGAAAACAGTGGGGAACGATTGACTCCTAGGTAATTCATAAAAGATGTGAGACTTTTGTTGGCAGAAATTGAGTAGCTACGATAAAAGATCAACGGATTATCTTAATTTAGTGGTTACTGTAACTTTTAGCACCCTATGGATTGTTCAACAAGTGCTTCCCAATTGTATCGTGTTTTGTTTTGGGTTTTGCAACTGTGATCTGTTGAGTATTATTTATTTCTATTATGAACAACTCAAGGAACGCACCATTTGATTCACTCAACTAATTGTTGGGACCTGCGATACGTACCTGACATTGCACTTTCAATGTATTGCCCATTTGTATGGTTGGAAGATTGGACTGGTGGCAACATCCTGTTAGAGGAAAATATCACTTACATAGCTGCTACATTGTTGAAATAGGAAGTGTCGTCTTTAACCTATTGCTAACATTTTTGAGAGATAACAAGAACTGCAGATGCTGCAGTCAGAGACAACACAGTGTGGGCTGGAGGAACACAGGCAACTTGCTAAAATTTTTGAGATACTTTGCCCTTGAGCATTAATGAGCTCCCTTATTCTTCTGCTGTATGAGTTGTTTGAAATTTGGCATTCTTCCATTTGCCCTTTTTGATTACAAGACAAAAATCTTTGGCAACATGTTTGTTTTCAATAATATGGTATTTAATTTCTGAATCTGTTGAATTCTCATTTTACTCCATTGACAAAGTGCATGTAGTTGCTTTAAGAAGTAATATTCTATTTTGAAGTATTCAATAAGTAAGATTTACAGGGATGATGTATTCCTCACCCAGGTTATTCCTTTGTCCTGGAAGTTTGCTGGCTACCTGATGAACATATTTCCATTCACTGTATATTTCCACTAACAGTAATTAATTTCACACTGATTTGTGTTTTTCTGGCTAGATGCTCCTCTCCTATCAAGTGTCATGCTTTTGTTCTTGAAGTGAAAAAATTTTGCTCATTGTGCTCCACTCCAAGTATTACTGATATTCCATAAGTTATCTGGAAAATTTATTTCCATTTTGACTTGAGCCAACTTTGTGCTGTCTTGTGTTTAGGGAAAACAACACCAAGTTACAGCCAAAGTTTTCTCGCTACTCCGTACAAGAAAACTGAGTTCCATACATATGAAATCTATTATCTTTTCAAGTTTGAATCTCTAAGTGACCTGTACCCTGGAATTAACAGTCATCCTAAATATTTTACAACAATGTATTAAGTGTCGTGTGGTGTTCTGTTCCATCATTTTAGGAAGGTTGAAAATGTCAAATTGATCGTGGTTTACACGGATTCACATGGTTATCAAGATTTTTGAAATATCTCAAGGTAATTACATACAGGATAAAAATCATTTATAGCCTGTCCTATTGGAGTTCTCTTCATCTGTCAACAATATCTGTGATGCTTTCACAGAAATGATATTGGATTCTGTGTCCCTTGGAAACCGTCAAACCGAATATTTTGGATAGGACGTTTTACATTGAATGTGCAAGCTAATGTGGCTTTGTGAGAGAGAGTCAGACATTCTGAAAGGAAGCCTGTGAGTAGACAGTACTTGGTATTTCTGGATGATTGTCTTGGGTGTACAATTTGTGCTTCAAAATTAATGTGTTCCCCAGCGCTTTGAGTAATAATTTGCAGCAGTATGTACTTTTTGTGACATGTAATAAGCACATGGGCGAGGATAATTGGTTCAGTTTTAACAAAATCAGCTTTTTGCATAAATATTTTTATAAAGTTTTGTTTTTCATCACATGTATCATCCAGCCTTTGAGGACAGTGAGCTGTTGTCTTGAACCACTGGTGGAGACACAGCAGCACTGCTATGAGAGAGGGAGTTTAAGAATTTTGATAACAATGTAGTTTCTAGTCAGGATGATGTGTGACTTGGAGAGGAGCTTGCAGGTTTGTGGTCTTTGCCTGGATTTGCTACTGTTATTATTCAAGTAGTAGAGGTTGGTTGGAGTTTAGAAGATGCTGTCTGAAGACCCTTTTTGTGCAAGTTGTACATCCATGTTGTGGATGGTACATACCAGTACTCAAAATACAAAGGGCTGGTGGGTGAATTTGTCGTCAATATTCCCAAAATGCCTGGGAAGAATCAATCACGGGGGCAATCAATCAGAAAAGTTGCTGCTGTAAGTAGAATGGGCAATATTGGTGAGGAGGGCCTTTTCCTATCATGGGCTCGTTTCTTTCTTGTGTTTACTGTAATCAGTTCATAGTGACTGTTTTGCTGGGATGCATTTTACCGGGGAAGCTACCAGGAGATATCTGTCAGGAGTTGAGTTGTTGGTTTTTTTTGAGGATTTGGCATGTGGGGGTCTGGTAGTGTTGCAAGTGGGAGAATGTGGCTGTAAGGAAGGGTGGTGAGGAATGTAATTGCAAGAAAATGGGGGAGCAATACAGTAGCTTCATTGGAGAAGAGTCTGC